TGAGACCTAATCTTTTTTACAGTATAGGCTGCAGAAATTATTCTGCTTGCTAGTTTGGATATATGAGGGCTCCACTGAAGCTTTGCGTCGAGTGATGCCAAGAAAAACAGTGGATTCAACAGGACTCAGCTCTTTCCCATTTAAAAACACATTGGTATTCAAATTTTTAACATTCGATGTTGTAAATTTAATACGTTTAGTTTTATTTCCGTTTAAATGTAGATTATTAACGTTAAACCAATGCACTAATTTTGATATAGCATTATTAGTTTAAAAATCAAGGAAGTATCATCAGCAAATAATACTACTCGTATATCATGATTATCCCCTACAAGGGAAAGTAAGTCTAATATACACTAGAAATATGAATGGGCTGGGAATCCAGCCCTGAGGGACAACCATTAGTACAGATGACTCGGAAGAACTTTTACCGTTGATAATAACTTTCTGCATTCTATTACTTAAATATTAAATAATAAGTTTAAGCGCAGTGTTCTTAGCTTCCTGATTAATGTCTCATGGGGAACAAAGCAGAAGGCCTTGAAAAGGTCACAAAATATACCCAAAGCATTTTCTGAATTCTCCCATGAACAAAAAATATGTTTAATAAGCTCAACTCCAGCGTCAGTTGTAAAGCGACCCCTTGTAAAACCGAATGGCAGTACATAACCTTTAAAAAATTTGGTTTAAAATTGGCGGGGTCTAATGTACTACCATATTTAAATATAGGTATGACTTTAGTATGTTTTATTAAATCAGGAAACACACAAGATTCGACGCTTGTATTAAATATAGTATTGTATCTATTATAGATAAAATAAGTTTAACGGAAATCCCCCATAAGTCTGCCGTTTTCTTAACATCAATAGTTTTAAAATATTTAACGATATCTTTTGGCAGTACTCTATGGAATTTGAAAGTATTTGAACAAGCCTTGACATTTTGTTTCAGCAATGATTCAACGAAAGTAGGAGAAGATTAATTATTAAGATTTAATGATTTTGTTGTCAAAAAAGGAACATCAGTAAAATGTTTCTCAAAAGCCATAGCAACTTCTTAATCAGCGATTTTTATACGGGATTTTTCACACGGTCCACTATACGTCGCTTGCTCTCGCGTTACTAACCCAGATAATTTACATATTTTAGCTATAAACCGAGCAATGAATAACATTGTTTACAAAGTAATTTTGTCTTTTTGATGTTTTTTCCTTCGCCCATACGAAAACTTTGTTAATATATCAAGCAATGCGGACGAAATCGTGGGTATCAGCTAGTGTTAACATAAAATTAATGTTTTAACGTTATAATCTTATAATTTCGCAACCTTGCACTATCTAGTCAGTAAAGTATTTACATTTTCTTATTTAAAACTGTTCCTTAGTTAATTTAACAAGTTATTCGTAGTTGAGCGTTACTGCCCATCAACACTAATACCTTGTCACCAGCGAGAACATCGGCATGCAACGCTAAATCGAGACTGCTAAGTATGTTCGGTAATACGAGTAGAGAACTACAGCTTGAATCAGCGCTCAAAGGTAAAATTTATTGTATTTTTAACCGAGTTCCTAAAAAGAGGAGGTTCTCAATTCGACTGTATTTTTTAAACGTGTGTTACCTCAGAACTTTTTTCTAGCTGAACCGATTTTCATGATATTTTTTTATTTGAAATCTTATGCTTCTCATGTGGTCCCATATAAATTTGATCAAGATCTGACCAGTAGTTTTTGAGTTATCCTTAATAATGCGTATTTATAATTTATATTGAAGTCGGCTGGACAATGTTTTTAATTTTACTACTTGTTGAATACTTTCACAATTTTCTGTCTAAACCTATTCTTATATATAACTTTTTGTGCTGTAAACGTAACGTAAACGTGGTCCGAGTACCTCTCTGCCTATCCCTTGCTGTATATTTTTGATGCCTTGCAAGGGTGGCATAAGTACCAGATAATGAGTAAGCCCAATTAAAATAAAGCTATAGAAAAACTTAGTTCGGTGAAACGTGCTGTGCATTAGAAAAAAAATCATGATATTATCATGAATTAAAGCGATCTAGATAAACTTAGAAAATAAAACATTATCTAAATAGAAAATTTTATCCAATTCGTTAGAGCCCTTTCCGAAAAACCACTTCACTTCACTTCACTTGTTTTTATAAAACTAAAATGACTAACGACTCCACAGTTCATCTGAAACAAAGAAGTCTTGTCGCCACCGAGGACGGAGATAAAATGCCTTTCAGCCTGTAACTATACTGGCTCTCTATCCCTTCAGCGCGGAACACAACAAGCCATGCTCTGTTGCTTGACGGCAAAAATAATCAAGAGGGTACCCAGCTGATACCTACGGACTAAATTTATATAAATTAATGAATAAATATACAAACTTATTTAAATACTTTTCAATTAATTCAAAAATACATAAATAAAACGAAAACTTACGCTTTCAAACAGTTTTAAAATTAAAACTGATTAAAGGAATAAAAATCCACATAGAAAATACACCAGTTTCATTTTTATTTTATTAAAATATTCACCCACTATCTGCACACTATCATGCCAATAAATGAGAAATTGACTCTATAGATATAGTATAATAATTTAGAGAAGTTGACATTTGTTTTATGACAACTAGTGAGACAATTAATTGTGAACACTGACCTCTAAATACATGTAAAAAATTATGAACAAAACATTATTAGGTTGTTGTTAGGTTAGGCATTTTTCGTACGTTGGAAAGACGCACAGATATTATATGTCTCAGAAATAGATAAGTTGTGGTACTTACTAGGACGGACTGTAGGCAGTTAAAGAGCTATCAAATATTTATGTAGTTAAATAGAGACTTAAATAATTATGATTTTGGTTTTGGCTAAACGATAGGACCCCTGGGACCGGTTAACCCTGCTAATTAATAACCGAAGCAATATCAAAACCAATGGAGTAAGAAGTAGGGTCAGTAATGATTTTTTAATAGAATAAGAGTGACAAACGGGCACAAAGTCGACATGATGGTAAGTGGATTCTGTCATATACGTGTACATCTATCATCGATTAAGAATTAAAATGCAAATGCGTTGTCAACCTTGAGGGCAAAAATGGATTGCCTCCTTTCCAGTAAATCCTGTGTCCTTTCCCAGTCGAGTCGACCCATTCGTGCTACAACTATGATATAGCTGCAGCATGGATCTACCGCGCAAAAAATCTATACTCGCCTATCCACCCGCATATAGTAGAACTCTACTCACCATATTTACATTTTTTAAATTGCTGGATACACAATAGATGTTCGTTAAGTACCAAAAAGTAAATCACAATCTAGACCCAATAGGTGGCACTAGTCATCGCACTACATGCACGAAAGAGAAGAACACGGTCTACCGGGTGAGCTTGTATCATATATTATAGTAAAATTTTGATGAAATCTGTACTATAGCAACCTTAAAATTGGAAGGCGATTACAACAAATTTTTTATGACCTTTGGCATTCTCTCAAAATAGAGCTATTATTAATCCGACGCGCTGTATCAGTCTTCTCTTCAGAGATTTTCTTCAGAGGGAGCAAACGAGCATGCGGCTCACCTAATGGTAAGTGACGACCGCCGCCCATGAACAACCGCAACACCAGGGAATTTGCAGATGGGTTGCCGGCCTTTTAAAAAGGAGTAGGCTCTTCCCTTGAAGGTCCCTAAGTCGTATCAGTCCGGAATAATCGCTGGTAGTAATCGATTCCACAAGGAAGTTGTGCGAGGAAGAAAACTTCTACTAAATCGCACAATGGTGAACCGCCAATCATCCTGGTGGTATGGATAGTCTGCGTTGGCGGACTTTAAATGTTCTCGAAATATCTTTTCACAAATTTCCTCGCGACATTCTTTCTCCTTCATCGCATATCATCCTTAAAATTGTAACTAACAATATCATAGCTTTAGCTTGGGTTGCTTGTTCAATATATTTTTTTTAAACTGAAGTATCAAACGAAAGTACAGTTTAACTGATGGTAAGTGGAACATATAAAATAAATATATGGGAAACATATATTTATTTTATATGTTCACGTTATATAAACATACATTTTACGTGGTAGAGCCATGCTGCAGCTATATTAGTAGTAGGTATAGTTGGGGTTCGTTCGACCTGGGAAGAACCACGCTCTCACAGAATACCAACGTAAAATATCAGCTTAACGCTGCCGTGTTTCGTATGGTGAGTGCAGAGAACCGGAGACCCTTTTTACTGGAAACGAGGCATTCCATCTTAGTCCTCACGGGTGACAACGCATCTGCATTTTGATTCGTAATCGAGGATAAATGTAGATGTCTATGGGCCACAGCAACCACTTACCATCAGGTGGACTGTGTGCTCGTTTGTCACCCTTATCCTATAAAAAAAAAACAGAAGCTTTCATATCGTTGTCACCTCTGAGGTCTATACACAGCCTGTAATTATACTGGCTTTCTATATCCTACAGATCCGAACAAAGCACTGCAAGCACTACTATTTGGCGGCGAAAATTGGTGAAAGGGTAACCAGAAAGAGCAGTAAAATTAGCTGAGGAGCTACCACGACTCTTATAACATATCAAGGTAAATCTTCAAAATTATTATCGTATCACCATAGATGATACACTATACTGACAATTTATTTACCTCTTTTATATTTTCTATCTATAAATTGTTCTGTATTGTATTTGTGGTCCAGCTAAAGCGTAGAGTAAACCACGTGTAAATCAGCCTATTGAAGTCAGCACTGACGCGACAGTGTTGTACTGACTCTAAATCAATTTACATTATGCCAATAGTGGGTTAGCACTCACTTGCCTCGAATTTGGAGTCAGTTACTGTCCCTGTGTAAATCAGCCATAATAGTATTCGTATTCTATGGATTATATACTCTTTAGGTAGAGCTGTCATTATGTTTCATAACGATTGTTGTTGACAAGTTGACGACAATATTTTTTATATTATATTTTTCGAACAAAACATCTCTAAAACGTTTCATGTCCAAATACGATAGAGCCATCACAGTTTTTTCACCGGATGGTCATCTTTTACAGGTCCAGTACGCGCAGGAAGCTGTTCGTAAAGGGTCACCGGTGGTAGGAGTCCGGGGAGCGAATGTCGTAGTTTTAGCAACGGAGAAGAGATCAGTGGAGAAGCTGGAAGATGAAAGAACTGAAAAGAAGATTGTTGCCTTAGACGATCACATTACGCTTGCCTTTGCTGGACTGAGAGCTGATGCAAGGGTACTAATTTCTAGGTAAGCTATAGTTAATATTTCACCAAACGTCAACCATGCCAGCCCGCAAGTAGGTACCCTTCTTACATACTTTTTCCGTCGGCGTATTATATTCTGGCAGAGTTATGGAGCAGTTAGTTCCACCGCACAGTTCCAACACGCACAGACAGACATATTTAACCTCTCAACATGTAGGTTTCCTCACAGTTTTTCTTCACAGCTGTGTTCCGATCGGAAGAGTGAAGGCAGCCATTATAATTATGGGCTATTTGGTATTCCGTCTTATCTCTTAGTCGTAATAACGCATCTGTAGTTTTTGTATGAAGTTCACGTAGCCATGGACTGCAGTAGCCACTTACCAACAAGTGGACAGTAAGGTTATATTTTCAGTTTTTTTTTTAAATAAAACGGCATGCAGTAAGTGATATTAAGTTTACGGCGACTTACCGAGCCTCTTTGTAAAATTAAATTTTATTAAATTGATTAAAAATATACCTGAATAATAAACGTATACATAATCCGCATGTATATTAAAAACTAGCTGATACCCGCGACTTCGTCCGCATTGCTTGATATATTAACATAATTTTCGTATATGCGCAGGAAAAAACATCAAAAAGACAAAATTTCTTAGTATTCAATGTTATTCGTTGCTCCGACGTACAGTGGACCGTGTGAAAAACCCCGTATAAAAATCGTTGTTTCTTAAAACTTGTAAAATATAGTTGGAACGATGTTCCTTATCGTATGGTACGAATTTGACGGATGGGGGCTAGGCGAGAAAAAGTGTAAGACATTTCAGTTACGACCCCCTTTCTATAGTGCGAGCGATATAGAATAATATCCCTCTCCATCGTACTTTTTATTATCTTGCCATGAAGGAAATATTATTTTAAATGACGCTTCATTTTTTAATAGACGCTAGTAATTAATTTATTGGTATTTGTCAATCAATAATATAATACGTTTATCAATAATAATATACTACGTAAAGAACTTTATTCCAACAGAGTGTTTGACGACACTCACGCATATTTTTTTTCTTTTAGATAAGGGCCTAGTGTCTAAAAAACAAAACTTAGGAAACCTAATTGAAATCTATCAAGTAGTTTTTCCGTGATACGCGCACAACTGCAAACATCTATCATTTTATTTACATATATTAAAAATAATCGTCACTTTTAACAACATTCATTGATTCGTAATGGTATAACTTAAAAATAATATGTTTTAATCAAAAATTTCCCCTGATAAGGTAGAAAATAAAATTTCTTAAAAACGCATTTATATTAGGCATATCTTAATCTTATCAGCCTATCGAAAGTCCACGGCTGGACATTGTCTTCCCCAAAGTAAAAAAGATTTGCGGTAATCGCTAAGCTTTGTCGTAATCCGCCTAATTAGAGATTGGAGTTGCTTTTAATATCTGTTATAAAGTTATACTTCATATCAGATTATTATTTATATGATATTGTTTGTGGTATGTGATAAATATTTATTAGAGTATTTCTAAGTATATTACGTTTGGTTTTATATTTACATTCATGTATACATATTTTCATGTTTTTATGACACGTGTTTAAGTTTCTCTGCTTAGCTCGTGGTTGACTGGTACAGAATGCCTAAAAGCAAAGTCCGCCAATTGTACACTTTATGTGCAATAAAGATTTTAAATAAATAAGTGAGATATACGTGGTAGAGCCATGCTGCAACTATTGCATGCCGAGCGCAAAGCGCATAGGTATGTTCTACTAGCGCCTAAAAATCAAGATTCCAACGTTTTGTCGCATGAAATCGTATCTAGCAACCATATTATACATATAAATGATATAAAAAGCACATTTTCAGAAAGATAAATGATTGTTGAACTTATTCATATTTTTTTTTTAAATCGATTTATTGCTATTTTTCATAAAAAAGGGGTTTTAGTAGCTTATGGTGTGGATTTATCAAGTCCGCAAGGCTTGTAAACACTCTAACTTTTGAAAATATCAATTGTTTAACTCAATCTATTTTTTAATCTCTTCATCTATTATGTGGGAAGCCACTGAATGTAAATGACAGTGTAATTTTGTTTTGTTTAGCTATAATTAATATTTTTCGGTTCCAAAATGGCGAAATTTTCGTTGATTTGGTAGCCTTGTGTTATAATTTATTTCAGTAAATAAGGACTGCCTGTGCCTCACTCGCTTACGCTTAGTTCGGCGTCAGCCGCCGCTGTGAGTGGATACTGTATCGGTTGTTTGCAGCGGCTCAAAAAGATCGCTGTACAAATACATACAAAATATTCGAAAAACAAATTTCATACATACTTGATTATTATAATAATCAGAGATTTTTTTTTACAATATTTTAAAAGCACACAATAAATAATAGGAGTACGTACTAAAAGTAAGTTGGATGTAATATTTATACTTGAATACTTCTTGGACTTTTTGGAATGACATGAATGATGATATGATGATCATATGAGCATTATAAGTCGTGCACTTTGGATTTTCCAAACTTTTCAAATTGAAGTTTGACATAAAATTATCGGAAAATAGGAAGTATAATTTGGTTATTAGTGAAAACTTGTGTGTATTTAAACTACTTTAAAAAAATCCGTATAATCATGCTATACGTATTTTTTTAATGCGAAGGCATGCTCAATTGGATTTACCAATAGTTTATTAGTAGTACAGTTGTAGCACGGGTCGGCTCGCCCGGAGAAGGACCACGCTCTCACAGAATACCAGCGTTAAATAGCAGTTTAACACTGCTGCGTTTCGCATGGTGAGTGTAGAGAACCTGAGACCCTTTTTACTGGAAAAGAGGCATTCCATCTTAGCATTCAACTTACTGTTGTTCCTGAAATTTTTGTCAAAAAATCCGCACTTGAAAATACTATAAGTTATTATAATTAAGTCAACATGAGATGTAGTTTTCTGTTTTTAATACTTATCTAAACGTTTCAATTTCTGAGTTTATATACTCATATTACAGTACACACATTATGTCCTGTTTATTTTGGCAGCAGCAGGAATGTGTTAGCTCGAGTGGAGAAAGGACACGCTCGCATAGAATACTGACGATAACCGGAGACCATTTTACTAGTAACGAGGCATTCCATCTTAGTCCTCAGGGATGACAATGCATTTGAATTCTGGTTTTAAATCGAGAAGTCGGTGTCTATGTGCATATGACCACAGAATCCACTTACCATCAGTGCTTATTTGTGACTCTTACTCGTATAAAGAAATACTTTAAGTCGCAGTCGCACACTACGCCTAGTTGAGGTTTGTATTTTGAAAGAAACTAGTGTAAAAAAATCATAGTTCTGAATCTATATAGTACTTGAGAAAAAAATCTAAACATACTAGCTGTTTTGCTGTTATGTTACTATGGTACCTAATTGAAATTTATCACGGCTTCGTATATAGTTACGCATATAAATATAAAATACATAAACATAAATAAAATCAGTTTATATTTTTAGCTTGGTTACACCAACTAAGGTTCGTTGCCGTCACGCCTATGAAGTCCACTGCTGAACATAGCCCTTCCCTATAGACTGCCTCAAAGGGAGGACATTTGCCACAGTTGCCACGCTTAGCAGGCGGGTTAGCAACCACAGTTTATTTTTTATTGGGAAGACGCTTCTGACCATCTCCTGGTTCATTTCCTCTGTCGCCTCTTACGACACCCACCGGACGATATGGGGTAGTGGATATTCTTACCCCGCCACTACACATTTAAATAAGGTTCATTACTTCATAATTAAACACTAAACATGGATCTTTTTTTATAGGATAGGGTGACAAACGAACACACAGTCCACCTGATGGTAAGTGGTTGCTGTGGCCCATAGACATCTGCATTTAGCCTCGTTTGCGAATCAAAATGCCGATGCGTTGTCACCCGTGAGGACTAAGATGGAATGCCTCCTTTCCAGTAAAAAGGGTGTCCGGTTCTCTACACTCACCATTCTAAACACAGCAGCGTTAAGCTGCTATTTTACGCTGGTATTCTGTGAGAGCGTGGTCTCTCCCCATTCGTGTTACAACTATACTACGAATATAGCTGCAGCACGGTTCTACCACGTATAAAATTGTCTCTCTCCATTAATGTAAATTTGAGAGTTTAAATGCGTCACCTTTATTTGACCAAATTCACATCTGAACAACCCATTCTATTTAGAAAATATTCTCATTTCCACCTTTACAATCTTTGACGTATGTTCCAGAGCTCAAATAGAATGTCAGTCGTACCGCCTCATCGTGGAAGATTCGGCAACGGTCGAGTACATAACACGTTACGTGGCGGAGTTGAAACAGAAATATACGCAGAGTAACGGAAGACGACCTTACGGTGTCTCCTGTTTGATTGGAGGCTTAGATTGTGACGGAGGCCCGCACCTGTTCCAGACAGAACCCTCTGGAACGCATTATGAGTGGAAGGTAGACAATATTTACAGAAATTTTACACTTCACAATATTACTTATTGATGATAGCGGTTTTCCAGCAGATTTTTTACCGCGTAGTGGCGATGTAAGAATATCCTATATCTTATATATTGTATAATATCGTCTCGTGAATGTTGTAAGAGACGACTGAAGGAAATAAATCAGTAAATCGGCAGTAGTTTTTTCCTAATGACGACTAAAAATAAAAAAGACTGCCGTTGCCAACCCGTTTGCCAAGAATGGCAACTATTGCAAATATCCCTCCTATGAGGCAATCTATTGGAGAGGCTTATGTTTAGCAGTGGAGTTCAATAAGCTGTAACGGTAACGGTATCTACTGTTCAGGTTGGGCCTGGGCTGGGTTCATATTTGATACTAAACGAATATTAGAAATGAATATTGGTGGGTACTTGTGTACGACTACGTATAAGTATAATTGTCATAGTTAAGAAATAAATCAGTGTGTTACTTGCAAGCAGTAGTTTCACTCGTGCCCCCTATAACGCATACTTACCAGTGGCGACGAATACCCACATATAATTTTTTTAAAATGGCCACAACGCAGTTCGGAATTTTATCAATTTTTGACCACAATGTGCAGTCATGGAATACGTACAAAGGCCGCCTCACGCAGTGGTTCATTGCAAATAATATTACTTCTGCAACTGATGTCCGAGGGGAAAAAAGAAGAGCGATACTCCTGAGCGCACTCTCTGACGGTACATACCAACTAGCGTCAGATCTTGCACTGCCTAAGGAAGTCCAAGAGGTGCCATTTGAGGATATCTTGAACATCCTGGATAGACATTTTACACCAAAGCGTCACGGGTTTAGTGAAAGAAGTACGTTTTACTCGGCAAAGCAACATCCAGGCGAATCACACGTTCAGTGGGCCGCAAGGCTTCGTGGGTTGACAGCTCACTGCTCATTCAGCAATGTAGAAGAAGCATTACGGGATAGATTTGTAATGGGGATGTTGCCGGGACCCGAGCGCGAGAAGTTGTTCGCTCAGGAACTGGCAGAGTTATCTTTGACAAAGGCAGTCGAACTGGCAGAGACGGTACGGTGCGCGCGCATCGCCGCATCCACCTCCGCCTCAGGATATGCAGCAGCGGTGCTCCCTGACATCAAAGAAGATCAGCTTCTCAAGATCACTGAAGGTGCACCCAATTCCAAACGAGTGGAAAAGTGTTCCGTGTGTGGACGTTCTAACCACAGTTCAGCAAAGTGTCGGTTTGCACAGTATAAGTGTAAAAAGTGTAATAAAAAAGGTCACTTACAAAAAATGTGTAAATTGAATTACGTTGAAGTTAAGGAGGTGGATGAGAGCGGGGACGACGGTAAGTTGTTTAACGTACATTCTAGGAATGGAGAACCCATAATTGAGCTGGTGACAATTAATGGCATTCCGTTAAAATTTGAAATTGATAGTGGGTCGGCGGTGTCGGTAATATCTAAAGACACATACGATTTATATTTTAATAGCATTCCCTTACAGCGAAGCGCTAAAAAATTGACATCGTATACCGGTAACAATATTAATTCCGCAGGACTAATAAGGGTGCCGGTAATATACTCGGGGCAGACGGCCGAACTTAATGTTTACGTAGTGCCCGGCGGCGGACCGCCGTTATTGGGTCGTGATTTTATGTCGATTTTTAAAATTAAATTAGTTAAGTGTAATTTTGTATCAAACACGGAAAACATTATGCTGAAATTTCAGCAACAATATCCTGAAGTGTTTTCCGATAATCTTGGTGCATTCAATAAATATAAAGTAAAGTTACAATTAAAACCAAATTCACAGCCTATTTTTTTTAAAGCACGACCAGTAGCTTTTTCACTTAAAAATAAAATAGACGAAGAAATCGACAGATTAGTAGATTTAGGGATTTTAAAACCCGTGGAATATTCCGAATACGCCTCTCCTATAGTACCGGTATTAAAACGAAACGGTACTGTAAGACTTTGTGCCGATTATTCAGTAAGTATTAACAAGCAGTTAATAGTGGAACAATATCCATTGCCGTCAATAAACGAGTTATTTGCGAAATTACACGGCGGACAACAATTTTCCAAAATAGACTTGTCGATGGCGTATAACCAATTTATTTTGGACGACGATTCACAAAAAATCACATGTGTCAACACTCATCGCGGGTTATATAAATATACGCGCATGGTGTTCGGACTTTCCTCTGCGCCGTCGATTTTCCAACGTGCGATGGATTGTGTACTGTCGGGGTTAGATGGAGTGCTATGCCTTTTAGACGATATTTTAATCACAGGAAAAAATGATACCGAGCATCTCGAGAGGTTACACGCGGTGTTTAATAGGCTAAGGGATGCAGGCCTAGTAGTACAAAAAGAAAAATGTGAATTCTTTCAAGAAGAAGTAAATTACTTAGGATACACTATTGATAAATACGGGTTAAAAAAGTCACATGAGAAGGTAAAAGCAATTGTAAAAGCACCGGTTCCAACTAACACAAATAAACTGCAGTCGTTTTTAGGGTTGGTTAACTATTATAGGAATTTCGTAAAAAATGCATCTAGCATTCTAAGCCCGCTATACGATCTTTTGAAAAAAGGTACTCAGTGGTGTTGGTCGCGTGTACACAGTGACGCTTTTAATAAAATAAAAAAGTGTTTAGCGTCCGAGACAGTCCTAGTGCATTTTAACCCTAATAATAAAATAATTTTAACTGTCGACGCTTCCCCGACTGGGTTAGGAGCGGTGTTATCACAGGTAGACAGCGACGGAGTTGAGAGACCTATTTCTTTTGCATCGCGCACTTTAAATACGTCAGAAAAAAGGTACTCTCAAATCCAGAAGGAGGCAACTGCAATTATTTTTGGTGTGAGACGTTTCCATCAATATTTATATGGAAGATCGGAACCATTTATTTTACGCACTGACCACAAACCACTCATAACTATATTCGGTCCTTACAAAGGTATCCCGGAGGTGTCTGCAAATAGGCTACAAAGGTATGCGTTATTTCTTAGTGGCTACAATTATCGCATAGAATACATCCGTAGCGTAGACAATTGTGTGGACTATTTATCGCGAGCGAGCTTGCCCGATATCACGGGGGACGCGGGGAGCAGTGTGAACAGCGACGGCTCAAGCATACACATAGGCGCTGACACACTCGACCGCGCATCTTACATTAACTTTGTCACAGATGGTAGCCTTCCTGTGACACGTAACATATTACGTGACGTCACGAGTAAGGATAACGTTCTAAATAAAGAAAAAAATATGTGATGGACGGGTGGCCTAGAAAGCTGTATGATATAAACATAAAACCTTATTTTTTATGTAAAACACAGTTATCTTTTGAAGATGGATGCTTAATGCGAGGGCACAAAATAGTTTTGCCTGAGCGGTTGCGGTTTAAGATTCTGTCCGAGTTACACAATTCCCATCTTGGTGTGGTAAAAACAAAAGCGGAAGCTCGGTCTAGGTTTTGGTTCCCGGGTATTGATACAGCCATAGAAAAAATGATCGGTTCATGCAAAATATGCACCCAGCTGCGTCATTCCCCACCACGAACGCCTATATCACCACGGAAATATCCTCCATTACCATTTTATAGGATCCATATGGACTTCTTAGGACCGTTTCATGGTCATATGTACTTAGTAATTGTGGATGCTTATACAAAATGGGTGGAAGTATACGAAGTACCGTCTACTTCGTCGTCTGTGATCGAAAAGCTCTACGAGTATATATCGAGATTCGGATTACCTCAAACTATCGTGACCGACAACGCGGCTACATTTACTTCATACGAGTTTAAAAATTTCTGTATGGTTAACGGTATCACACATGTAACGTCACCGCCGTATCACCCCGCTAGTACCTAACGGTCAGGCTGAAGGGTACGTTAAAATAGTGAAAAAGGGGTTAAAATCATGTTTACTTTCAATTAATAACAATAATAAAAAAGAATATAAATTAAAATTACTTAAATTCTTATTCGATTATAGGAACTCCTTACATAGCACAACTTCTTTGTCACCTGCTCAATTAGTTTTCGGTCACAAGTTGAGATCACGGTTGGACTTAATGAGCCATGTTATACCGCCTTCATCCACATCCTTGGAAAATAAAGTCCAAAACAAACAGTATTTGCAGATTAAGGCACATGGGGGAAAATATGCGAAGCCTTTTGAAACCGGGGCAAAGGTTTTGTATAAAAAATTTAAAAATAATAACACATATAATTGGTGTCGTGGCGTTGTAATAAAAAGAATAGGCAAAGTCACGTATATAATAAAGGATATATATACGTCAGCAAGTGTAAAAAAACACAAAAATCAAATCATGCGTGACCAAGGACCATGTCACGATGAACAACAAAATTTCGACATTGATTTTGACCGTCAAAATTTAACTGATAACACCAGGAAAGAAAATGTTCGAGACGGCCAAAATGACTGTTCACAACGGCAAAAATGACTTTAAACGAGAAAGTGATTAAGGAATATTTATTTGTTTAAAAAATGAAAATACGGAAAAATTGACTAAATAATGTATTAAATATAGTTTTACCATGTATTTACAACTCTCAATATGTTTGAATAGAAGGTCGATTTGACAATAGTTAACATGAACAACTTTATTTTGTTTAAGAAAATATCGACCAATCACAGCGCGCCGCGCTATAGAACTTTCTGGAAATTTAAATTAACTGCGTAATAGTTTTAAGCAAAAAATTAATGAGAATAATTTTATGTCTGAAAAGAGTTGTAAATATGGTATTTAGTTAGCATATGATGTATAGATCGTTATAATAAAGAAATATTTTGTATAATTAAGCACGATTTAAAAGTTATAGGATAATTAAAGAATTAATATGACCAATTAGTGTAAAAGTTTAGGACATTTCAATGAATAACTTTGTTAAATGTAAATATATTAATTATCCTTTATCGCATACTAATGTAGAACAAAAATGTCTATTTAATGATGTATAGCATGTTAGAGTTAAGATTTGTATTATATAAAAAAGTTGCAATTTGTGCCATTTGCA